AGAGTAGGGGGGCAGCGGGGGTGGGGTGCTAATGTGATTTTTGCTACTGAAGGAACACGTCAGAACTCAATTTGCTCTCAGTCTGGCTAAACTGTCATCCCCAGTTAAGGGTCGTAGGTACTCCTTCATGTCAGTAAGAGTTTACAGAGTTGCCATAGCATAAACTGATTTCTCTTTTAACTATGACTTGCCCTTTTATTATGGACTTGACTGGAGAGACTCCCCCAGTGTAAATGAAGTGCTTTATTTATTAAGAGCCAGGCAGTAGGGCAAGAGCTCTCAGTGCTGGCAAATGCCCTCCATGCTCTGGTAATAAAGGCTTTCTCTGGGGGCAGAGTGTGCTGTACACTGAAAGAAGAAAGCAGTAGTAAACAAGGTGTTTTACATTCAGGACAGTCTGTCTCTCATCTTGAAGTATGTAATTGTGTTCTGGAAAAATTATGGAAATAAAAAAATCAGAAGTTGCTCATAGGGAAATAGACCTCTTTAAAAACAAGTAAATATTCAAGGCATTGCCAATAGAACCTTGGCAACCAATGCTGATGTTGTCTGGTAAGAAGTCCAAGCTACGTGGGCAAAGAACCTGACAGAATGGGATTCAGACACCAGTTTGGCCACTTGACAGAATTACATCAGACAACTGACTGAAATCTGTTTGAGCCTCAGGTTTTTAATCTTTAAAGTGGGGATACTGCGAACTCCAGAAGTTTGAGGGGAAAAGTGTGTAAAGCAGCTAGCATGATGTCCAACACTGGAAGACAGTGTGTTCTCTATCCCATTTCTCATTTCCAGTTCTTGCTTTAAGATCTGCCCCATCTCCTCCCCCAAAGAGGGCATATTGTTGATTAAAAGGACTCCAGTCGATGCAATGCTGTTTCCACGGAGTTTATAACAAAATGAGGTTTTTAGGAAAGAATCCACAAGCTACATTCATTGAAGTCTGAATAAATAGATTTATGTGCCAACTGCATCTCTACCTGTACTCCAACCCTCACCAACCTGGTAGTCATCCAAATAAATTTTTACCTTTTTTGTCTAGTGATGAATGACCCAGCAACTTCTAACTTACTACAGGATACTTACATATGAGTAGCCTCTCCAAAGCCAGGGTTTTATTTTTAGAAGTTATGGGGCAAATCTGGAATTTATACAGAATGTATTTCCATAATATAATAGTTGCTGGTATAAATTAAAATCCAGTTTGATTCTGCCTCCTAAATCTTACCATATATACCAATTAGCAATCAAAAATGTCTATATATGCCATTGTTCTATTCTTAAAATAAATTTCTTTGCTATTAACAGCCTTATTTAATGGCTACAGTATATTGTACCTGATTGACTGGGGGAGCAGAACATGTGCTATTTCTGCCTTGCCAGTATATCTACTAATAGAGTTTTAGAAAATCAGAAAGGTTTTGTTTTTTTAACATGGATTCTTTAAGAAAGGCACCAAGTTGCCTCTTTCTATCCGTCTGCTATACATCAAATTTTGTTTTATAGCAATCTAATTGTCATGATATCTGTTTCAAGGGGAAATTTATCAAGTCACAGTGCACCCTTCTGTTTGGAAGAAATATTTGAGGATGTGAGCAGAAATTATTTTTACATAAAGGCTTCAGGCAGTTAAGAGTACTGACATACATACCATATTTTCATCACTGTCATTCACTTCCTTTGCCTCAAATAAATAGGTCATTATTATCCCATTGCAGCCATCTTATGGTGCCTCAAAGTATGGAGCTCTGTTTAATATAACTGCCATCTAGCTGACCCGTATAATTTATTGGTGATTTTTATAAAATGACATCCTTGGGCCACCACCATCAGCCAAAGCACTTTGATATCTTTCAGCAAAATATTTTATTACCACACAATTTTTTTAGCGTTAGCATTATCACCATGTTAACACAACTACACGTTGGCATGTTCTGAGTTGCTGGGTTTTCTGTTGACCTTAATAATTAAATAATAATAATAATACCATGTTGATGATATTACTATAGATTTTTTTAGAGCACAGCAAGGGCAAGAAATTGCAGATGACAAAAATTTACCTGAATAATTTGCTTCATAATGACACATTAAAACTGTCTGGTCTTATAATACCTAATTAAAAATACAACAAAAAATGGTTAGATTTTATAAGAATAGACAGAAAGCTCGGATTGTGTTTTATTGCCTTCATTACTTAAAACAAAAAGAATGTATGGTCAGGGCCAGGGATTTTTAGCTCAGCAGTTCGGTGGCCTGCCTCGCAAGCAAGGACCCAAGTTCGATCCCCGGTACCAAAACACAAACACACACACACACACACACACACACACACACACACACACACACACACACACACACCAAAACAAAACAAAAACCCCCCAAAAAATGTATGGTCAAGTCCTCTTTGCTCCTATCTTCTATATAAATGCTATATAGCCTTAATATGAACATAGTATACTCCTCTCAGAATATACTAGCCTTGGATTTCAAATAAGGAGCTAAAATTAAAGCTTATAGTTATTTCCACAGGAACTGTTCTATTAGAGGATAATTGAATTGCCAAGTGACTTCAAGTCCCAGTAGCTTCAAGATAGGGTAGTAGTTAGCATCTATGAGGCTCTGTTTTACTTTGAAAGGATTAATGCCTATCACCATGCAGCCTTTTCTCATGTATCTTTTGTAAACTAAAGACTATCTGTATTGCTAACAGACATTCTTTAGATTTAAGACCCTACATCCCTTTGCCTAGAACCAATTAAGATCCCATTTGGTGTTCTAGTCTCCTGAAGGCCAGTCCTGTGACCCATGACCTGAGGCAGTTAAAACACTTGAATCGTGCCATTTCATTTTTTCTTAATTTTCTTACTGGATTGTGTTACTCTGAGACTTCCTATACACACTTTGGTAGGGCCAAAAAATTCCACCCTGAAATTGCTTGATTGGCGGGAATTCCCGTATTCTTTTCTCAACTCTGGGAATAAACTACTCCCTCCAGCTGGGTTCTGAATTCTGCATTGTCACAGTAATCCACTAAGGGGGAAAAAAAGCATCCTTTCCTTTTTTTCTGATCACTTTTTCTCTATGTTGTTATTTTGTAACACCGTTCAGCCTACTAAGCTTCTTCTACTGGATCAAGCTAGGGAAAATGTACCCTCTCACTCACTGAAAGCCCTGTGGGCTATATCCTCACACCCAGGTTAATTCTCTGAATCCTAGAGCTCAAGGTCAGGTTTCATTTTGGTTTGTTCCTTAAGCACCAAGAATTTTTGTTTATCTGTGGCTCTAATAATCTTTTTCCCTTCTAGTTTCCCCTCTTCTAATCCTCTGCCAGGGGCTAGTCTATTTCTAGGTGGATTTGGCTTAAAGCCATCTTAGACACCTTTCTCACACTGTCCCACTGTGTCCTGCCGAGAAAGGATCCTTCAACAGAAATATGATAACAAGTGGAAATCCTCCATTTATTCTAATTACATCTCTACTTATGCGTCTCAGTTTTTTTCTTAGATTAGTATTTGATCTTTGTGTTGTGATGTGACAACATTTTTTTTAAGGAGTGAATAAGCCACCCTGAATTGATATATAGCAGCTACATAGAGAGCTCCTGTCTTACAGTGGGGGCTGTGATCCTGTTATGTGCATGCTTGTATCCTCAGTACTCCCTACACATTGTAATGGCTTAATAACTGCTTGGATTTGAGGTCCAGAGAAATGATGATGATGATGATGATGATGATGATGATGATGCTATGATGATGGCGACAGTAGCAACAGCTACCATCTATTTACATTTCGGAGAAGCTAGACAGTGCTCAGCTCTCTGTATCAGCTCTGTGAGATAGCTTTTAATTACTGTCCCCATTTTCAAGATGGGAAATTGGCTCAGGGACTTTAAATAATTTTCCTGATACCACACAGCTGAACAGCAGCTCCCCCTACACATACACACAGCTAAAAAGCAGCCCCTCCCTTCCTGATTGACACATACAGCTATGCTTACAACTCCCTTTTTGTTCTTCCATGGGGGTGAGGAATTGCAGCTTCTTTAAGATTGGGCTAATGTCATTTGTGTCCATATTCCCTGCTATGCCAGGTGCAGAGTTGAACAATTGACAGTTGCTTCATCTTTTGCTTCTCAATTGAACTCTCCTCCTGCTACCTTATGCTGTGGATCATTTAGGACATTTATGAGGTGCCCTGACTGCTGTCACTAATCTTAGAAGCAACAAACTAGAGCAGATCTAGAGATAAGTCTTACATCGGTAGATCTGAAAAGCCTTGACTTTTTGACATGTACTAAAAAAGATTTTCTAAATGGCTAGAGGGGGTGTTCTACAGTAAAAGGCAAGGGTTCAGAGCTGCCTGGGACTTGAGTGAGTCCTGAAGGTGTGAGAGTAGAGGAACAAACTCTCAATGGTAAGCCTTCCCTAGATTTTATTGAGACCTCAAAGACTCAGTCAGTCCCATCCTCACTCACACAGTGACTAAATGAACTGCCTATACATTGGGAGCGTTGACTTCCACTAACAAGACAAGATTATTTATCGAATCTCCTACTTCTTTCTGTCAAGTGGCCTCTTGAGTTTTCTGTGAGGTAACCAAATAGTTTAGCTCAAGGACATGTGAGCTACTCTTGACCATATATGCATCTTCCTCCCCCAGCTAGGAAAACTTTAGCTCCTGACAAAAACCAGTGCTATGACATTTCCAATACCTCCACAGTCTACTGTCCAGCAGTGCAAAATACTAGAGGCTGGGACTTTGGCATTGCAATCTTTGAGACTGTCAATTCTGGGTTTAGTTGTATTTTGTCTCCAGATCGGCCTTAGTTTATTAGACTCATTTTATGAATTTGAGAGAAAGATATTAGAGCCATACCAAACGTTACTACTTGTGCTCATTTTCTGATACACTTCTCATTTCTTATTTTTCATTGTAATTGATCCCATCAACCAAATTTTAGTTGATGGAATTTTTTTTCTGACCTTTTTCTCCCTTTTTTAAAGGTGATGGACAGAATTTGTTTACAAAAGACGTGACAGTGATCGAAGGAGAAGTTGCAACCATCAGCTGCCAAGTCAATAAGAGTGACGACTCTGTGATTCAACTCCTGAATCCCAACAGGCAGACCATTTATTTCAGGGACTTCAGGCGTAAGTTTCCATCCCTATCGTATTAGACGGCAACTTTTTCCTACATGTTGTCTTGATAAAGAGATTGCTAAGGCTACCTTTTTTTAATTTAATGTTAGATGCTTAAGGTTTAGTCAATTCTTTAGAGGGAAGAAGAGACAGGCAATCATAATCTTTCTACTTAATAGAAACCTTGAACGGTCCCTTTTAAAAGTAAGGCAGTCTTACTTTGCAATAGGAATTGATTGTAGTAATTCAAGGTGAATTGCAATTGAGTCCCAAATACTTAGCTGACACAAACAACTCAAATAGGGTAAGGCAAGGAAAATATAGCATTCTGAAAGGTAATCTGTTTGGTTTGAAGATTGGAGTTTCCAAGGCAATCTGTGCCTAAATGACAAAACCAAATCTCTCACCACCGCCTCTGCTATATATATGGAGGTATTCATATGCTGAAATCTTTCCAAAAGTATTAGAACAAAAGCTGATAATGGAAACTAAGGTGTATATAATAGAAATGGTTCAATTGGGTATCATGGTGTGACAAGAACAAGAAGTAAGTCTTTGAAAAAAAATTGTTATTTGAGAGTATTGGCACCTTAACCAAAGCAAATGGCCAGCATGTCCCTTTCTCTTTACTTGTTACTTTTCCTCCCTAAAAGCCAGGGATATTTGTGACCCATGGAAAGAATTGATAAACCTAAAGAACACTGGTATGGATGAGGGAGGATAAAAGAAGAAAGCTAGCTTCCTATACTTAAGCTGAATTTTGTGACTGTGGACTAAAGTAGCCTTTACCAAAATTAATAGACTTAAGAACATTTGAAATAAATAAGAAGTCCATATACATTGCTTTCATAGCAGTCCTGATTTCCTGCTTGATATCTAATCAGTTTCATACTGTGAAGCTGAAAGTAGCTAGAGCAGTAGAGGACCAGTTTAAGGTCTTTGTAGGCCTTAGACCATCAGTGTTTGGCAGCTGCACCTCAAATTATATCACAAAAATTAAAGTGCATCCATGTTAATAGGACTATTTTGTTATCACATTTTAAATGCTTTTATTTTGCTTTGGAATTATTAATGATTTTTAAAATTCTCTTTTATAATTTGGAGCCACTTTTTATTTAAAGCCTTGGGGTTTTAGAGGCACATTAAATGCTTGTAGGCCCTTGTTCCTAAATTTGTGGTGCCCAAAGGCTAAGAAGGGCTGGCAACCTATGTCAGGGAACTCAGGATCTCAGGATTTCCCTTCTGTTTTCGTTTTGCATATATATGTATGTATGTAACCACTGAGCTAAATCCCCAGCCCAATTTAGCCTGTCTTTGATAGGAACCTGAAAGAATTTATGAGTATGTGCTGAGACAGTGCTTGGAATTACACCCAGTGGGGTGTGTGTGTGTGTGTGTGTGTGTGCGTGTGCGCACTCACACGTGCACCCGGCATATGTGTGAGTTTACTTTGGATAAGGTTGTTTGTTTTACATCCACTTATTGCAGAAGCTCAACTTTCTCTTCACCTAGTTCAGGAAAATACACAGTTGTCATTCTCACAATCACTAACTCCCGTATTTTGTTTCACAGCTTTGAAAGACAGCAGGTTTCAGTTGCTGAATTTTTCTAGCAGTGAACTCAAAGTGTCGTTGACAAACGTCTCAATTTCTGATGAAGGGCGATACTTCTGCCAGCTCTACACTGACCCCCCACAGGAAAGTTACACCACCATCACCGTCCTGGGTAAGAAACATGTGCAGTTTTTTTTTGGGGGGGGTACTACCAGATGGCTTCCAGCTGCAAAGAAAAAGTTAACAGTGAATTTCACCGTTCCAACTTGTTTTAGGAAGAATCACTGCCCATCTTGCTGAATTTTAAAAATAGCCTATTTTACCAAACGCTCTAAGGAATGGCAATCAGCAGTCTTTAAAGATTCCACCTGCTCTTGGGTTTCAAACCTCAAACTTCAGAAGCAAAGATCAAGAGAATTTAGAGCCCTCAAATGAATCACTCACCACATGAAATGTCATTGCTTCTACTAGGATTTTTTTTTTTTTTTTGCCTTCTGTGCAGAAGCAGGGAAGATAGGATCCACATCTGTACCCCAGGGCAGAGCTCTGTTATGAAATCTGTGTCATGAGTTTTTCTTCTGAGTTACATCCTCATTTTAATGTTGCTGATCTTGTTTTCTGTGGCTTCATTTATTGCCTTGTTTATTGCTTATAATCTAGATTATTCTACCAAAGTCATATCCCATGCACATACTTTGCTACAAAGCACTGCCATTGAACATAAAAGAGTTAAGAGCACCTTAACTGATAATAAGTAAAGAACTGTTGACATGCTGTTAGGTACACTCAAGTGTCTTCATTTATGATTGCCAGATTGTAATTTTCAGCAAAATTTCAGTAGCCAAGTTTCTGTGTTTATATTTTGATATAGTCAGCAGATACATCTGGGCTGAAGGTGGTCTGAATTAGTCACCTTTTAGACAAACATACTCCAGTGCATAACACAGGATCTGATCTGGATTTTTGAAAATAAATTTCCAAGGACATACAGGATAGCGTGAGGCCAGACCTGTGATTTACACCTTCAGGAAGATGATGAATCAAAGTCTATTTGAGGTGGCAGACTAAAGCTTTTTGGTGTAATGATATGAAGATTAAAGAGGAAAGATAAATATGAAGGACATTTTTGCTTGGTGTGTGCACATACATGTATTTATGGATGTACATATTGAGCTGCTGCCTGATTACTTTATTTAAACACAGCTGTAAATGGGAAAACACATTTTTATTCAATAAGCTAAAACAAGGCTCCCCCAAAGCTTACATATATGCTCTTGATAAAATAAATACTGATTTTAGAAAGCCATGTTTAAAGTCTGTTGATACATATTCTAATGTGGTTTGTGTTTAATGATAGATGGCTTTCAGGTATACTTTTATGTCAGTATTGTGCCTTTAATTCACATTAGACCTACAGAAATAGTAAGCACGCAAGATTTTGCTGGAATAATTATTCTGGTGTTTTACAGATATACCAAAATTCACAAGCATGAATTTTAAAATTTTTCTTTCTGCTTGCTTGGTAAAAGTAAATGAAAACAGTCTGCTTTTACAGTAAGTAATTAGTTGCATAGACTTCAAATTGACTACTCTTTGACTCATTATCATTAGTGGCATTTCCACAAAAGTGACAGTAATAAAAAGGAATATGTGTCCAGTATTTTGAATTTTCAGAATATTTTACCACTAGTATCTTTATGATATCTTAATTTCAAAGAACAAAAATGATAATAACAGAGGTTAGCCATTCTGTCTAGGTTACAAACTTACTACAAATGGAAGGAGGAAATGAATATCCTAAAAGGCACCCACATGCATGCAAAATATCATAGGAAAGTTTTCAGTTTTTATACAAAACTGAAATTCAATAAGAATCAATAATCTGGGTTAGTCACAGTGCTGCGCACCTGTAATCCTAGCTACTCAGAGGGCTGAGGCAGGAGGATAACAAGTTCAAGGCTGGCTGCGGCAACTTGAAAAGATCCTATCCTAATATAAGATTTTTTTAAAAGACTGATAATATAGCTCAGCATTCCTTAGGTTTAATCCTTAGTGTCACCACCCCCTCCAAATCACAAATGTGAGAATTCTAAATAGACCTTACTGTTCTCTCAACTTTTGTGTCTTCTAGCCTGTGTTGTTTTCAGTTAAATCCTGAATGCTGCTATTACAAGATTTTTTTCCCTGAAGGTGTACATCTTTTGTTTTCAGGAGTCTGTCTGACCATTGGCAAGAAGTTACCACCTGTCAGTTTCCAGTATCTGGTACATTTGATTTTAGAACCACTGACTGAACTGGACTAGTTTGACTATGAATACACCCTGTAGTCTTGGGAGCCAACATACCAACTCTAGACTTTAGGGGGGCATGATACCTGTAATCCCTTTGGAGGTCTCATTATTCCAGAAGTAATAACTTCCTGCTTGTATTTTATAGGAGCATTAACTTAAATATACTTGAAAGTAGTGCTAGTAGATGTTCCTTCTGCAGATATTATGCATTCATTTAATATTCTTCCTATTGAATTTACACTACACCAGGAAGCCTTGACAGAGTAAAATTGTTGTCATCAGTGTTTGAGTCTTTCATATTCCAAAATCTGACAATTTTCCCTGATACTCATGTATTCAAACCTTCTTCCTAAGGTTCAGAGTTTTCAGATATTATAATGAATGAAGAAGGATGTATTAACATCTTTTTTGCCATCTACGTTTCTCTGAAGAGGATTCTATATGTACTTATACAGCTGTCAGTCTTCTTGATAGGTTAAAGATGTTCATTTTAGTGCCTATGTCTATTATTTGATGCATTCATCAAAATTTGCAACATAATTGTAAGATATACAAAGATGGGTATTGTTAATATCTGTGCCATTCTGTAGTTGCTACTATGTTTAGATCATGTCTGTGTAAAAACTGAAAACTCTCCTATGATATTTTGCATGTATTTGGGTGCCTTTTAGGATATTCATTCCCTCCTTCCACTTGTAATGAGTTTGTTTTTTTCTTTGATACCTAGTGTAGGTATACTGCTATTCAGGACAGCAGATGAATGGGAGAGAGAAAACACTGCTCTAAGATTCCTGTAGCTACCAATGACAGTCGCTAATATTATCATCCTGTCTTTCTGAGATTAGTGTTCACTCTTAAGATTTCAGGAACAGGAGAACCTAATTATTTTAAAGAATCTTAGAGTGAGATTTTATGTACTGATTAGCTTTAAGACTCATCTTTTGTTGTAATTAATATGAGTCATCTTGATATTGCTAATTTTTTAAAATGTTGTAGGCGTAATGTTTATAATTTGAGGTTAGCTAAGAAGAACCTTGACATTTCATTGCTCTTTTCTAGTATTTCTCTCTATGTGATTTTCATTCAGGCTTTCATCTGTATGCACCTCCTTAGATCTATCTTTGGTTATTTTCATTATTGGCTGCAGGCAGTTTTTACTAAATATGTCTGTTTAGTAGACCATGTATAAGTGTATTCTCTGGTTAGCAGCAGTTTTAATTCATTTTTCTTATAAATGGATTTTTATACTTTACTAACCTCTTTTGTATTGGAGTAGACATTATGAAGTTAAAAGAAAAATGGGATAGAATTAATGCACCAAAATAAAATTTTTTCTTGCCCAACCTTCTTTTTTTCAGAAAGACAGATTTAAATCATCTCATTTATATTTTCCAAAGCTTTCTTGCTCTTAAAAAAAATCAGAGAGAAGTCAACTTGAAAGTATCAGAAAAACCATTATAAGTCACATTATCAGATTTTATTTTATATTTGTAAACTGAACAACTCCTGCTATACTTGCCTCTTCTTCTAATCTTAACAAAGATTAGATATACTGGCCACAATCTTGAGAAAAACTATTCATGGACTTAGGAAAAAAATCATTCAGCTATTTTTCAAAATGATGAGCTCAGTAACAATTCTTTTATTCTTCTATACTGGGCATGTTTTTCAACACTTACGCAGTTTTCTACACTTTCACATTGGCTATAGAGTTAAAGATGTTGCCAGTTCTTCAGGAAGGTAATCCTAGGATTTAGCATTGGTACAGGAGTCACCATTGTTCACAGAGTTTTAGGTTGCATCTGTTGCCACAGAGGAGGAATTAATAAGGCTAATAGCAAACAAGAAACCTGGGTGAGGACTTCGCTGCCAGTCAAGCTGTCCATCCCCCCAAAATATGAAAGAGCTATTAGTGGCTTTTCCTCCATGCTTATCTATACCTGGCCCTTTTCATTTCCTGACTTTGAGCCAGAAGACATTATTTGTAATGTGGAAAGAACACACCATGTTTATTACCAAAAAGAGGTTGAAAAGAGATTCCACCGAGAGAAACCATTGCAGATGAGCATGTAGTGGAGGTTCAGAGAAGCCTGGGGTGAGGAGTATTAAGAATTCTTCAGGCTCATCATGAATGAGGAAAGAAAGAAGGCAAGATACCCAGGGACACACACACTAAAACAACTACCAACTACATATGAGGTTAAGTTCCACTGACTTGACAGCAATCTGTAGCAGCCTTTTAACAACCCATGGAGGTGTCTCCATTTCGAGAAGTTGCCCAGGTTTCCGCAGAGTAACCATCAAACTGTCTGTCAGGGTGTAAAAAGATGGGATCTAATTATTCCATTCTGTAGGGATTTCCAGGATTGCCAGTAATTTTAACCCTTCACCTTCTGTCATAACCTACGAGAGTCACCTTGTTCAACTTCATATCCCATCAACTCCATTACTTAGTTCTCAGTTAGTTACTGTTACAGTTCTCACTGAGAACCATTGTATATGTTAACACCAAAAATTATTGTTATGACTCGATTTTTATTTTTCCTGTGTCTTGAAAAGACTTAACTGTTCTCTGACTTATCATTCCTCCATTTGTTTGAACAGACATTACTACATCTCTTCCTCCTTAGTCGTTTTGGTCTGCTTGGGTTTTTGGTTTTGGGGGTTTTATTTAAATTTTGAGACAGGGTCTCTAGTTCAGGCTGACCTTGAACTCACTATGTGGCCCAGGATGGTCAAGAAGTCACAGCAATCTTTCTTCCTTTGCCTCTTGAATGCTAGGATTAAGGCATGTGCTGCCACACCCCAACAGGGTAGCTGTTTCCTTTTTTTTCTTTTAAATCTCCTATTATACTGTCCTTTGTTGCTTACCAATGTCTTGTTTTTTAAGAGTTGGACAGTCTTTCCTCTGATTTGATCTAACATTAACAATCTTTTCAGTATTCTTATTATACTATATTCAGAATGCAGTAGTGTTTGCTGATCCTAAACATCTACTCTCTCTCTGTATTCCCTACCCAAGGTCTAGGTATGTGGGATGCAAATCTGTCACCTCTCATGGATAAATTCTATAAGGAAACGAAATCATTCCATCTCCATGCCACTGCTTCACTGTGTCTCCTAAAATGCCAACAGACATGGGGCTCCAAATTGGATATTAAAGTATCTCTTTCGCTTAATTTTTTAAATGTAAACTAGAATCTCGGCCATCTCACATTAGCAGTACCAGTTGAGCAAATATGTTGTTTTCCTTGTACACAGGGAACAAAGAGGAATGCATTTACTTTAGCAGTCATACCCCTCACTACAGTACACTATCTTGCTGAGAATGTGTGCAACAAATCATTTTATTTTTTTTCTTTCATTGTTCTCACTAAGAATTTTCAATTGCTTCAATTCAGTGTGCAAGTCTTCCTGTGGACAGAATTTTCACAGTGGACTAGAACAGTTGGAAATCCCAAATACATGGTTTAATCCCATAATTTATTGAAGGGGTATCAGAGATGCATTATTCAACTTGATCATCAGGATGGCATGTTGATACATATTTAATTTCTTGTTTCTCTTCTGAGTTGAGAAACTTATTAATCATAAGTCTCAGAACTGCCTTGGCTTATTCATGATGGCCAGGACACATTCTTAGATTCACACTACTGAATTCAGTATTCTTACTGATTTTTATTTCAAGAGGCTCAGTCATGATGTAAGGTTGCACCTTATATAAAGTTTCACTGTCAACTCAGTTTCATTAAAAGTAAAAAAGCTTTTGTCATCATCATCACCAACATCATATTCTTGACTTGCTATTTAGTATGTTAGTCCCAAATCTTTTATTTTGACTATATATA